AAAATATCTTTAATATACTGACATGTCAATATTGGAAGAGTATGATGCTGCAAAAGAAAGATACTTTTAAATTATTATATATAATACTTGAAAGATACTTCTCCCATACTGGAGAGTAAATATAAAGAAAGTATTTTAAAAGTATGAAAATATATTGCATTTTTATGTTACATATCAACACAATATTAGTCAGATCCTCATTGAAGATAGGTAACATACTTCAATGCCAGTATTGTAGTGGTATCAAGAATAGACATACAATACTGACTAACAAGTATGTTGTTAGTATGGAAAAAGTATAAGAGTGAAATATTTTCATAGTGTTTCAATATTGCAGACAGAGTATCTAATTAGTATATTGTTAGTATGAAGAAAATATCAAAGTGAGATATTTATATAGTGTTTCAATATTACAGACAGAGTATCTAATCAGTATGTTGTTAGTATGGAATGAATATGAGAGTAAAATATTTATATAGTGTTTCAATATTGTAAGGCAGAGTATTCAATTAGTATATTGCAACATTATACCATACTTTTTGAGGGCTATATTACATACTTTCATAATAGAAGCATGGTATGGGTTGAAAGAAATTTAGAAGGTATCTGAAGGGTATGATTTCTTAGAAATACATAATTTTAAAGTGAGGACTCAATACTGAAGAGAGAGTATTGAAATCATATTATAATACTAAACAGTATATTAAATAAATACTGAAGAGAGAGTATTAAAATCATATTATAATACTGAATAGTATATTAAATAAATACTAAAGAAAGAGTACTGAAAGCATATTTTAAAATTAAACAGAACCAGCATACCAACTTGATACCAGTCCCTCAATAATATTGATGGTATCTAAGATGATTGCTATGTAAGTACAGTGCAATAACAATAAGAGTAATCAAAAAGTGATAGAGTGGTTAACAAACAAGTATCATTCAAGTATGGTAATATTAATAATAGAAAACTTGGAGTACTAAAAAAGTATGAAATGAGATGATGATGGTACTAAAATAATATCAGAAAAGTATTAAATAGGGGTACTAGGATCTGAAGATGAGATATGACAGCTGTTTTCATAATGATAGGCCAAACCAAATGGTACCCTTACCCTTACCCATGACAATGCCTATGTGGACCCATGGATGTAGAAAGATATCATCTCCATACACCAGAAATCATTGATGTTGCATTGAAAAATGATGACACAAAACTTAGATGCAAACTTTCAAGATACATCAAACTCTCTTTCACTTTCTGGTACTAAAAATATCAAAAGTATTATATAGGGGTACTAGGGTCTGAAGATGAGATATGAGAGCTGGATAGGCCTTCAAAGGCCTATCATTATGAAAACAGCTGGAATATCTGGGGATCTGCAGATCTGCAGGATCTGGGAATCTGTGGATATAAATACCCATGGATCTATAGATCTCGAGAACCTGTCAATGCATGAATATAGAGATTTGGATCTGTGGACCCATTGATGTAGAGATATGGGATCTGAGGATCTGTCGTAGATATCTGAAGAACAGAGGATCCATGGATCCATGGATGTAGAGATACTGGTATCTGAGGATCTGCAGATATTAGAGATCTGTAGATCTATGGATGCACAAGTATAAAAATCAGAAGATACATAGATTTGGATATGAAGATCTGAGGATCCATAGATCTGTGGAGATAGAAATATAAAGATCTTTAATTTTTGAATGTTAAATTGAAGTTTCATAAGATTTCTAGTTGAATGTAGAGATACCATGATTAATGGATGCTTGGATGTAGAGATACCAGGGTCTGAGGATCTGCCAATCTATGGATGTAGAAAGTCTAAAAATCTGCAGCTCCATGGATTCATGGATTTTGATATCTCTATATCAATGGATCTGTGGCTTGGATATGGTGATACCAGAGTCTGGTGATCTGTAGATCCATAGATGTACAGATATGAAAATCTAAGAATCTGCAGATCTGAGGTCCATGGATCCATGGATTCTAGTATCTCTACATCAATGGATCCAGGGACCCATAGACTCATATCTCTACATCTGCAGATGCACAGGTTCTTGTATCTCTAAATCCACAGCTCCACTGATCCATGGATCCTCATATCTTCTGACCCAACGATCCATCAGGGGAGCTCTTTACTCTCCCCCACCTATTCCTACTGGACTCCTACTGGATTCCCGGAATCCTACTGGACTGGACTAGGACTGGGACAAATTTCATGCTGGCTGATCACCATACAAATTTTGTACCCTAGTCCTAGTGGAGTCCTAGTAAACTCCTACTGGAATGATCCCAAATCACCAGGAATTGTGGAATTCTGCTGGATTTTTAAGGAATGAGTCCAGTAGGAGTCCAGTACAAGGAGTCCAGTAGGAGTCCAGTAGGAATTTCCAGGGACAGGGAGCCCAGTAGGACCAGCAGTTTGTCACTATTGTTGTTATTATATAATATAAAAAAAAGCGCAACATGACAGAATTGAACTCTCAACCTTATGGACAAAGCCACAGATACTCAAATCAAGCACTTTACCAGTTACACCACAACAGCATTATCATAGGTAGGTATTATATGCTCTATGTACCAACGTACTGACCTCCTTCCTAGAAAGGACGTCGGCGAATTCCGCAAGTGGGAATTTTGCCCAAACCCTCGACCCACAACAACACTTGACAACACCACCATCAACCTCTTGCTTACCCACCACGTCCACGTTGCCTCGTCAATAGCGACCACCATGACCACAACGGACGATGACAACATGCGACCACAACAACAACAACAGCCACAACAACACGCGACCACAACAACAACAATGGCCACAACAGACGACGACAACAGACGACCACGCATGCAATGACGACCCCACCCACGGACACAACAACGACCCACAGACCACGAGCGCCCACGAAAAACGCGCAGCACCCACAAACGACGCCCGCCGCCCACGAAAAACATCCAGAACCCACAAACGACGCCCGCCGCCCACGAAAAACGCCCAGTGCCCACGCCCATGAATGATGACCGCCCACCAACGACAAGCGACCGCCCACCAACGACAAGCGACGACACCCACAAATGACACGCGACGACGCCCACAAACGACAAGCGATGACGCCCACGAATGACACGTGACAACGCCCATGAACGAGTCCACACCCACAGGCGACGAGCACCCACGAACGGCCACTGACGATGAGCCCATGTCACTCTTTCTCCCCCTTCCTCCCTCCTCTTCCCTCTCTCTCACTCCCTCCCTTCCTCCCCTCTCTCACTCCCTCCCTTCCTCCCCTCTCTCACTCCCTCCCTTCCTCCTTCCCTCCCTCTCTCCCTTCCTCCCTCTCTCACTCCCTCCCTTCCTCCTTCCCTCCCTCTCTCCCTTCCTCCCATTCTACCATCCTCCCTCTCTCCATCACTTCATTCCCTCCCTCCATCACTTCACTCCCTTCCTCCCTCCCAGCCTCCCCTTCCCTCTCTCCATCACTTCACTCCTTGCCCCCTCCCTCCCTCACCACTCCCCTCTCCCCTGACTACACTACATTAGTAACATATCTTTCTGCATTTAGCTATGTATAGAATTATGAATAAAATATCTGTTCACCCATGAATTTTGTATGGAATTTTGAGGTCTGATTTCAAACTTGAAGATATTGAGGTTGGATAATGCCAGAAATTGATACTCCAGTAGGAATCCAGTAGGAGTCCAATGTCTGAAACATCACATTCACTTTCTCTAAGTTCAGATGGAGTCCAGTAGGAGTTCAGTAGGAGTTCAGTAGGACTCCAGTGGGAGTCCAGTGGGAGTCCAGTGGGAGTCCAGTGGGAGTCCAGTGGGAGTCCAGTAGGAAGGGGTTTGTATAATGCCTTTTTAGAGATTTTGTTAAAATCCAGTAGGAATCCAGTAGGAATCCTACTGGACTCCCGGAGTCCAGTAGGAATAGGTGGGGGAGTGATAAGTATTGCATCAGGGTGGAGAATGAGGATGACCAGAAGCATCAGCAAATGCAAATGCCAATGCTTGATTTGAGCATGGAGAACCATGGGTAACCCACTAACCCTTACTATACGTATACCAACCTGCACCATACCTGTCAAATCCAACCTGTACCTGTACCAAATGACACCCTTAGCCCAATACTTTACCATCCCCCACATAATCCACATGGACTCCACTGGATTCCACTGGCTTCCACTGGATTCCACTGGACTGGACTGGACTGGACTGCCAATCACAAAACTGGACTCCACTGGACTCCCAGCACAAAACTGGACTCCACTGGACTGCAAGCATAAATCTGGACTGGACTGGACTGGGCTGGACTGCAAAGCACAAAACTGGACTCCACTGGACTCTCCCAACACAAAACTGGACTGGACTGGA